AGGGATGTTCAGACATTTTATTTGGATAAATAATAAGTATGCTTACTGCTATTATGATTCAAAAGGTAACCAAAAACAGAATTGAAATATTGATAAAAATTGAAAATGAAAATTCAAGATCAGTAGTCAGAGGGAAAAAGGAGTATGTACTGAAATTGATCAAAAAAACGAAAAGAGAAAAAAATAAAGAGAACAACATAACTAAATGAAAGTAGAGTTTTACTTCTAGTTAGAATGTGCAAGGTTGGTAATGATCATCAGTCTTACTGGAACATTGAGACCTCACATAAACTAAAAAGCCATCAAAGAGATGTGGACACAGATATGTCTAAGTAAAATAAATTCCAGAAAAAAATGAAGCCTGTTGCATAAAAGGAGTAAAAGATCAGCAGTTACTTTAATACATGGGAGAATGTATTGAAATAAAACTGAGAACAGAGAAACGATCCTTCTATAAGCAAAGTTACTGTTGAGACAAGGAGAGATCAAATGAACTTCTAAGAACCACGTAGGCTGGTATGACAGATTGGAATCTGAAAGTTCCAAAATGTGAGTCAGTCCTCTCTGTCCATCAGTTTCCCTACAGGACCTTTGCAGCATAAGCAGTGACATAGGAAACTGGGAGAAAGGCAGAAAGTGTTCCTGTAATCTCTAGGAGCTTAAATCCCAAAATCCTCCTAAAAGGAGGAACTCATCCCCTTAGAAAAATAGGTTCTGAAATTAACTAAAGCAGCAACCCAGCTCAACCCAAGCCAACTCCTGATTTGAATAAAAAGACCTACCTTACATACTAGCTTTCTGAAAGAGGAAATAACCTTTTCTGAGGAAAGATGTTTTCTATTTCAGTCTCTACTGATTATATGTCTAGCAGTTCTAACCTACAGTCAAATTCTGAAGCATTTGTGTAACCATATGCTTAGGTGACCCATAACCAAGAAAAAGAACAGTCAATAAAAGGAATCCCACAGATGATCAAAATGGTATAATTAATAGACAAGAATTTTTAAATAACTGCTTCATATATGTTAAATAACTTAAGAGGAAACATGAACAAAATGAGTGAAAAGATGGCGAATTTCAGCAGAGAAATAAAAAATCTAAAAAAAGAAACTAATGGAAAGTCTAGACTTGAAGAGTATAATGGATGAAATGAAAATTTATTAAATGGGCCTAACAACAGATAGAACATGTTGAAAAAAAGAATAACTGAACTTGGGGCAAGACAGTAAACTTATACAAATTACCTAAATTGAAGTACAGGTGTAGGGGAGTATGAGGGGCAGGAGAGGAAAGAGAATGGCAGATCTGTGTGACTGTGTGAAATGGACTAAACATGCCATTGGAATTTCACAAGGAATATAGAGAAAGTGGAGTGAAGAAATATTTGAAAAAATAATGGGCTGGTAGTTTTCCAACTCTACTAAAAGACAGCCTATAGACATAAAAAGCTTAGCAAAATCCAAGAAGGGATATTGTTAAGACTATATATGTTCACACCTAGGTACATCTTAATTAAACTGAAAAAAAATGCAACATGAAAAAAAAACTGCAAAAGCAAAGAGGAAATAGAAGGTATTATATTCAGGGAAATAACAATAAGAATGATGCCTTTCTTCTTATAAGAAACAATGAAATTAAATCATTTTCTGAAAGAAAATGACTGTTAACCTAGATTTCAATACCCAGGAAATACATTCCTTGAAAATGAATGCCCACTAAAGCCTTTTCAAAAACAAAAACATAGTCACCAGCAGATTTACACTATAAGAGATCTACCAGAGGTTCATCAGTCTGAAGGAAGATGATCTCAGATGAAAGCCTGAATCTGTGGAAGAAATAAAGATAAATATATGGGTAAATATAAAAGACTAATTTTTAAAAAAATTCTTTAAAAGACTATTGTTTAAAATAAGAACACTGATAATATATTGTGGCACTTATAATATGTAGAAGTAAAATATAAGGTAGCAGTAGCATAAAGGCATTATAATAAATGGAGTTACACTGTTTTAAGGTGCTTATATTGTTCTTGAAGTAGAAATCCTAATTCAAGGTGTACTATAATAAAGTCTGTATATTGCAATTTCTGGATTAGCTGTTAAAACTCTTTGAAGAGATGTAGCTAAAAAGCCATCAGGGAACATAAAATGAAATAGTAAAAATGTTTGATTATTCCAAAAGAATATAGAAAAGGAGAAAGAAAAGAACAAAAATAAACACAATAAAATAGCAAGTTGGTTAACTTAAGCACAGTCATAGCAATAATTGCTTTAACTGTAAATCATCCAATTATTGAAAGGCAAAAGATTTTCAGACTGGACGATCTAGCTGTAACATTTATCAATAGATTGATTTTTTTATGTATATTTGATTTACTTTTCTTTACTGATAGATTGATTTACTCTGTAGATGTTCTGTATTCTTAAGTTTATTTGAAGATATTCAAATTTTAAAATATTCCATGATAACCTAAAGATTTTAAATATATTTCTATATATTTAATATATTGAACATAACACTTTTATAATTTGGAACATAAATACACTTGTATTTTCATTTATTTCATGTTTTCCAGAAAGTAAGAGTATTATTAGTAAAAATTCTCCAGAGAAACAGAACCAATTATACACCTGTATAGAGATAAATTTACTTTAAGGAATTAGCTCACAACATTGTGGAGATCAGCAAGTTCAAAATCTGCAGGGCGGGCTAATGGGTTGGAGGCCTGGGGAAGAGTTGCAGTTTCAGTCCAAGGCAGAATTCCACTCTCAAGGAAAGTTAGTCATTTTCTTACAGCCTTTATCTAATTGGATGAGGCACACTTACATTATGGAAGGCAGTCTGCTTTACTCAACACCTACTAATTTAAGTGTTAATCCCATCCAAAAAAAATACCTTCAAAGAAACATCCAGATTAATGTTTAACCAAATATCTGAGTATCATGGTCTAGCCAAGTAGATACATAAACTCAATCATTACTCCAAGCTACTTCTTTTGAGCTTTCAATTATTGTTATGCCTTAATAAAAATGAAATGAGATACAAATGTCAGTTTTTTAAAATAACATTTACATAAAATAGAAAGCTATTTTGGGACTTTTTGGAAGACCTAATTCCTTCCTGTATGTTTTTTACTGCAAGCTTGAACAATATTCACGTTTGTATTCCCAAATGATATTATTTCTGTATGTGATTTAAATTTAAAACTAAGATTTTAACTTTAGACAATTCACTTTTAAAAATTCTAGTTTTCAACATATTTTTACCTGAAACTGAATCTATAAAATATGTAGTTTTTTCTTGTAATAGTATAAACTGTGGACATAGATTTTTGTGGGTTTTGTTTATTTTAGTTTTCATTATTTCAGCGGGTTTTTTTCCAATTAAAATTACTTTCTAATTGGATAAGAATTTTAAAATCAGTAGTAACTCTAGGTCAGTTTTATGGCTATCATAGTACGATAGTGAGAAACACATGGAAAATGTTGCTAAATCCTGAGCTCCATGATGTGACCACTCCCAGTTGAAAGCCAGTGTGCTTTCAAACTGCTTTCGGTGGTTGCAACTAGGAGGGCTGTGGGAATGTGGGGCTGGGGAAGTGGGATTTTTTTTTTTATTTGTTCTATAAACTTATGTATTATAAAAATCTTACATCAAGAATCTATATTACTTGAATATTTGCCAGTATATTTCACTCTTTAAAAAAAAATAAACCCAAAGCCAATGTTATTCTATGAATAAAAGAGTGTCTTTCCATCAAAATTACCTTAAATATTTTATTTTACTTAAGATGAAATCCTGTTCATTTGCTCTTTGGTTTCTTTAAAATAGGACATCCCCATTTTACTAGACCCTTGAAGTCAGAAATAATAATTTATTCACCTTTTATCACCGGGTATCAATAAGTATTAGTTGATTGAATAAAGGTAGTATAGTGCTTTATACTTCACTGGCCAACAAAAGCTATATGTTATTTTAATCATGTTCCTTGATGCATTTTCAATACACTTTTACAAAGTGATAAAAAGTGATTGTTTTGTGTTGGTCTCACTTATTTGCTTATCATACTTTAAGAAAAATGAATTAAATGGTTGTAAAAGAGAGGAGCTAACATTTTGCTTACTAGGATTTTTGCTAATTGCTATTAACAGATATTGTAGTTCTCACCTTTAGCTAGTCCTGCTTGTGACAGTCTTTAGCATTATTTGAACAAATTATTCTAATATTCTAATTCACATGTTAGTTTGCTGGTGGACAGATATGGAAAAAGAAATGAGACCCACGTTTGTGTTCATTTTTAAAGTGAGCTAAACTTTGAACCTGTATCTTTACAGGTGAGGTGCAGCGTTTTATATCCTGAAAGACTGTTTATTACAAAGAAATACAGTAGAGGACACTGGGAACAAAAAGAAATTCACACATGATAAAAGGATATTTCTCAAGATTAGCTGTCAGTGTTACCATTTTAAAGGAAAGAATCAGGGAACTTTTTATTTCTTCAGATGCTCCATACTGATTGAATAAATAGCAGAATATGTCATAGTAGGAAGTCAGATGATCAAAGAAAAATTCAAATGGATTTATTTATTCTTTTGAAAAAAATAAGGAAGCAGTGATTTCTTTCATAGCCTTTGTGGTATTTCTTTTTAAAAACTTTATAATGTCAAGTCACAAATAAAACTTTCATAGAAGAAATAAAGCAGAGCCCAGATAATAGTGTAATTTTTTAGCTGAAAGCAGGATATGGACACATCTTGTGCTATTGCTAGATGCCACTTGAGTGGGAAAATTGGCTTAGCTAACCTTGAGTCAGGTGTCTTAGCTAAACTCACCAACTGTTTCTAACCAAAGAGTGCATGATATAACTTTAAAGAACCCTGCCTTCTGAGTGAGAATTTTTTCTTATAAGCTGTATGAGTCATGTTGTACTGACATAACTGTTTTCAAATTTAAATGGATAGGCATAATAACCTAATATTCGCGATCTTTTCTTTCTACAGGAATTAGCAGCATAGAAAGAAAACCTTGTAACCATCAGGTAGACACAGCACCAATGGTAAGGCAGTCTATTTCTGCATTGTTAAAACTGATAAAAAGCTACAAAATGATAACTGGCCATGGTTGCACAAAATGCCATTGTAGAAAACTCTTATAACCTCCCTTTCCCCAAAAATTATATCCCCACAGGAAAATTAACCTTATGTTTTCCAATTAATGAAGAAAACATCACTTTTTGCCAAGATATAGGAAAAATAAGATAGAGTCATTTTTATAGGTACTTGTTCATATTAATGTTTTTAACTTAAAAATAATTTATAGTTTTGACAAAGTAATGTAGATATGTGTACAATTGGATTTATACTTATTTTAAAAATGAATGTACTGTGTACACCAGCATCATTATTTAGAGTGAATGTTTTATAATAGTGTAAGAAGGCTATTATGCTTCATTTTTCTTACAACTTACTTGTTTTTATTCTTATAGAACTGAAATCTTATCTCTTATCCTCTCCTACTATCAGATAACAAAAAACATTTAACAAATGCAGTATTTATTATATTTGTAAATTATAGAAGAAAGAGAATTAGATTTTCCGTTTAGTCTCTGAATATATTTGTATGAAATACATATCAGTTGCTAGTTTGCAGTTGAAAGACTCATAAGATGATGTCGAGTACAGTACATTTTACATTCCCTAAACCTAATCTTATTTCTTATCCTTTCTGTTCATAAGATTTTCTAATATTTCACACAAATCACCATTTCCTGTTATGAGAAAGGTTTAGTAATATTGATTGAGTATCCTTTATCCAGAATGCTTGGGACCAGAATGTTTAGCATTTCTGACTTTGTCTAAGTTTGGAATATTTATAAAATACTTAGCAGTTTACAATCCCTAAGCCAGAAATCAGAAATCCAAAATTTACCAGTGAGCATTTTCTTTGAGAGTCATGCCAATACTCAAAAAATTTTGGATTTTGGAGCGTTTCAGATTTCAGATTTTTGTATTAGGAATACTCAATCTGTACTACTTTTAAGAAAATAAAGTTATATTAAGCTGTATTTGAATTTTATTGATTATTACTGTTTGCCTCAGTAGCAAATTAACTCCATTTTCTATTTGTAATGAATCCATATGATTGACTTAGCATGTTTGATAATTTAATATGTGGGACTCCAGAAAGACTGGTGTATGAGGAATTCGTCATTAGCATAATCATAAAAAGTACTTGGCTATAGTATGTGTTTTTATTATCCTTTAGTAAGTATGCTAAAAGACTAACCATAACATATGTTTAATTCTTTAATATTAAAAAATTGAAGATTGGCTGTGAAGGAAATTTTATTTTTAATGTATTTGAATAATATACTCAGTCAAAACCGGGCTCGGTGGCTCAGCCTGTAATCCCAGCGCTTTGGGAGGCTGAGGTGAGTGAATTGCCTGAGCCCGCGGGTTTGAGACCCACCTGGGCAACTTGGCGAGACCTCATCTCTACAATAAAATCAAAAATTAGCCAGGCATCGTGGCACATGCCTATAGTTCCAGCTACTTGGAAGGCTGAGGCAGAAGGATCACCGGAGCCCAGCAGGTCAAGGCTGCAGTGGCTGGGAACGTGCCACTGCACTCCAGTCTGGGCGATGGAGTGAGACTCCAACTCAAAAAAAAAAAAGAAAAATATACTCAGTCATTGGATTAGTTTACATACTTTTGAAACTTGTTTTATTCTTACAGACTTTACTATGGTATCTGTTTACATTTCTGTTTTGTTTGTACATTCTGGAACTCAGAAAAGTGCAACCTGGCAGTCTTTTTGCTGTACCCTCTTGGCTGATTGTAAATCTCCATGCTAAGTAAATGATGAAGTAGTAGAACCTAATCCACATGAAATCTTGAGAAATTATATTACTAATATTTACAGTAGCACCCTAATGATCTCAAAACGACTCTATGAATTAAAGACTACTTTTAAGGCATTATAATTTAAGTATTGCTGGCCTTTTTAATATGCTTTTCCTGTTGGGTTATGAAATGGGAGCTCCTGATATATTAATCGCCTTTCTATTCTGTATGATCAATAAGTTTTCATGTTCTTGGTTTATATATGCACTCCACAAACACCCACTAGTTCTCCAGGTGGCTACTTGAGCCAAGCTCCTTTTTGATGTGTTTTTCTGAAGTAGGATCTAGTCACTCTTCTCCTTCTCCCTCTTTACTACAAATTAAGGATATTATACTACCTCTTGCCCCCACAGTCCCCAGGTTAATCTTGGCCTTTTCTGTTTCTCTAAATAGAGTCAGAAGTCTGGTAATTATTACCCAGGGTGGGTAAAGTCTGACTTGCACACAAATAGAATTTCACCTAATTTCCATCCTTGAATCTGTATGCTTTTATTTTCCTTAAAGGGTTTAAGAAAAGAAAATGTTTAGAGTTGGAGAAATAAAAAGGAGTCTATCTAAAATAGTTAACAAGGTAGGATATTTGTAGTCCCAAACTTTATTGTCTACTGGCCTGAAAAGGAAAGATGATTTAAGTCTCTCCTGGAGCCTGAGAAAAAAATAGAAGTGGAATGAACCAGGATTTTAGAATGGCTGAGACTGGGAACCTGAGTGACTTTTTGACTCTGTATCTAACCCCTAATTCCTTGTTTACT